GAAAAATGGTTATCCAAACTTTTCTTAAAACCCTCCACAAGTTGGAGCCTCCACAACTTCTGGAGGCAAGGAGTTCCACTGATTAATTGTTCTAACTGTCAGGAAATTCCTCCTTAGTTCTAAGTTGCTTCTCTCCTTGATTAGTTTCCACCCATTGCTTCTTGTCCTGCTTTCTGGTGCTTTGGAGAATATTTTGACCCCCTCTTCTTTGTGGCAGCCCCTCAAATATAGGAAGGCTGCTATCATGTCCCCCCACCCTCACCCCGCCAGACCTTCTGTTGGCCAGACTAGCCAAACCCAGTTCCTGCAACCTTAATAAGTTCATTTCTGGTCTCCCTTGCAGCCGTAACTCGAGGACTACCTGTAGAAGCCGTTTCCCAGTTGGTGGGAAAACTGTGGAGGCCGAAGGAGGAGAGGAAGCGAAACGGGGTATAATCTTTCTGGGAGATCTTCTCCTCTTCTCCAGGTGGGAAAAAAGGCCCAGAATTGCCCCCCGGGGGCTCCCCGTGTGTCTCCCCACCTGCACTCTGACCACAGTTACGCAAAGTCAGTTAATTGCTGGCTTAGCCTTCGCTTGGGGGGGACAATTTTTTCCTCCCTCGGCAAGCAAGCCGTGGCAGGAATCCTTTGTGATTTTTCATCATTGTAGGAATGTGGACACCTGCCAATCCCCCCCCCTCCAAACTGGCCCTCCGGCTTCTCTTGAGAGCCTTTGTATTTTTTGGGCAGGTGGGGGGCAAAGAGGAGGCGGAAATTAACATTTCATCCCGGTCTTTTGATCCCAGGCGAATCGGGACCCGCCTGTCCGTGCCAGGACAAGGGGTGAAGCTTTGCCCCGACGCCCGCCCGTTTTTGCAAGGATGGCATAGGCAGCTTACCCCCCCCCCCCCCAGGGCAGGGGAGATCAAGGCAAGGAATGGAGCTCGGGCTTGCCTGGACTTAGGTGTTGAAAGGACGCAGAGTTCTGGAACAGCCTGGGCTGCTTACGGCAAGGTGTAAACCTGAGATTTAAAAAACAACAACACCCATCAGCCACCGACGGCAATAATGCGCAATGCTGGATGGATCATCGGATAAAACGCAGGATGTGGAAGAGTTCTCGATCCAGCTCCATGTGGAAGGGGGGGGGGTCAGGTCTGCAGCGTGTGGAGGTGTGACCCCTGAGCATGCA